TCCCTCCCCCTCCCCTGCACACTCCTCTCCTCCCTCGCTCCTCCCGCCCAGCCCTCATACCTCCTGCTTTACTCCTCCTGCTCCCTCCGTCTCCACCTCCCTCATCGAGTCCTCGACCTCTCCCTCCTCCTCCTCCTCCTCCTCCTCCTCCTCCTCCTCCACTTCCCCTCCCTCCACTTTCCCCTCCCTGTTCCCCCTCCCCGCGTTCGTCCTCCCTCATCACTTCTCCTCTGCTCCGCTCCTGCTGCCTCCAATGCTTTTGTCCCTCCCCCTGCCCTCCCTCCTCCTCCTCCTCCTCCTCCTCCTCTCCTCCCCCTCTTCCTCCTCCTCCTCCTCCTCCTCCTCCTCCTCCTCCTCCTCCTCCTCCTCCCCTTTTCTGTCCTCCTTCCTCTTCCTCCCCTGTCAGTATTTGTTGTTCCCTTTCCTCTCTCGAGCGTAGACCTGTTCGGTTCGCTTCCCCCTCCTCCTCCTCTTCCTGCTCTTTCTTCGTCCTCCTCTTTTTCCTCATCTCGAGCAGGATACAGCTTCAGAACAGAACCTAACGGAGGTCCGCGCGGATTTCTTGGATCAGCGCTTGACCCCTGCTTCCTGGCGCGCCAGGGGCGGCGCCAGAGGCGTTGCCAGGGAGGCCCAGCGCCTTTTCAATGCATCCACGCGGACCTTCCGAATTTTCATGTTCATGCAGTTTGTCCGATTCTATCTCCTCCCCTTGTGTCACGGTCGCACCGGGGCATCAGATCGAGGCCGCTTCGGGGAGGGCACCCTACTGTTCTTCGTGTTTGCGGGATGTTCTTGTGCATCATGGGGGGGGGAGCCCTTGGATGATCTCTGTGCTCTGGCCGGGGGAGGGTCTCATGTTCTTGAGGGATGTCCTTCTGGCCTGGGCCCGAGTGTAATTCGGGAGGGGAAAAGCACACAGACACAAGTAATCGTCGATTCCCAGGAAAATCTGAGGAAATATGGGACGTGGGGGGAAGACAGAAACCCAGAACATATGGGACAATATGAGGGATCTTGTTATTTGTGTGTATTTCTTGGGCTGGCCTCCGGCCAGTGCCGCCGATCCGGGGGGGGGTGAGAGCGAGGGGAAGAACGGGCCTGGGGTACCGAAAAAACATCGGAAATGACGTCGGAAATATCCCCCGGGTACCGAAACACGTCGGACATGACGTCGGAAATAAAGTACGCTTCCCCCCTCCCCCCCTCCAGGGCGAAGCTTGAGCGAGCTCAAGTCCACGCTCTCAGAAACCCACACGCCGGATCGGCGGATTTGTGTGTCCTTGGGCCCCTGGAGCAATCACCACGCGCGCGGCGGTTTCCTCAGGAACGCCCGCGCGACACCGCGGAGCAGGGGCTCCGCCCCGCACGCGCCGACCCTCGAGGGGGCCCCGCTCCCGCGAACTTGCGCGCTCCGCTGCGCTCCCCCCCCTCCCCCCTTTTCTGGGCGTCAGTCGGGCCTGTCCCTCTACAGGAGGACGATTCAGAACCAGCGAAGGCAAGTCATGGGATGTTTTGTTTGAGCACTTTTGCGACTGTGTTGGAATCGGTTTTGAGAAGTTCTGCTTTTTCGTCCACAGTCCTTCTGTAGGGGGACAGGCCCGACCTGATTCGAGGCCTCCTATACGGGGTCGGAGGATCGCGCCGCATCGCCGATGCATCGGCGATGCGGCTCGATGAGGAGCCAGGTTTTCTTCACGCCGGCGTCGCCAATGCACCGCCGACGTCGCCGATGCATCGCCGCTGAATCGTTGATGTATGGGCGATGCGGCGCCTTGCTCCGGCCCCATCTACCCAGACCCCATCTGGGAGGCCTCTACCCTTTCTCTTCAATGCTCCTCCCCATTCTTTCCTCGAGTGGGGTCAGAGAGCGCCTTCCTCTGCATGACCATCAGTTTCAGGCACGTCAAGGTGGTCAAACGCCTCGCCGGTTACGCCGACGAGTGCGTGCAACCTCCAACCATTCGCTTTGCAATGTGTTTAAAGTTTTGGTTAGATGTCGGGTGTGGTGTATCAATTTCAGACAGACCGAACAGGTTGGTTGCGCCCATTGGCGTCCTTTTGGGGTGTTCTGCAGACCTGACCCCCCAGCCTTACTCCATTATTCTCCCTTCCTCTCCTCCTCCCGTCTCAAGCAGCTCCGTGACTTTGCCAAGCCATGTCCGGAAGCCCATCTCACGCCCAAGAGGCGGGAGCATCTCGACTGGCTTGCCACGGGGTGGAGAGCCAAGCAGTCTAGTTGTTGTGACGCTTTGCGTTTGATTCGATTCCGAGGTTCCGAGTCCGATTCTGCCTCCCATGTCATTTGCTGCCGGCGCAAGTGCGCCAAGATCAACGCCACGTGCCTTGCCCGGAGAGAACAATTCTTCGGGAGGGCGCTTCTGGGGCGTCCACCTTCCGCCGATTGTTCTCTCGCGACTGCGGCTGCGGAGCGATCGGTCTAGGCTGGATCGGGTTCTTCTTGGGCGCGTTTGTCGCATTTGGTGGGCTTTCTCGCCTCGGACATGCTCCAGCAGCTGCGCCTCGCCGAGACCGCTCCAGGAGCGCCGGGCTCGTCCCGAACGGCCGCTGGGGGCCCGATGTAGGACCCGAAGGCGATGCCAGATCCGGTAAGGAACGTTTGCTCAGCGTGTTGCGCCGCCGGTTCTGGCCCACCGCGCTGCGGCGCGCCATGCCCAAACCGCTGCCCCATCTCCAGCCAGCCTGGGTAGTCGAAGGCCAGACTGTCAGACTGGATTGGGCCCCAAGGGCCAATCTGGCCTGGCCATACTGGAGGATTTGGGTTCTTCTCCAGACTGGATTCGCGTGGGCTCCCTCGCCAGATTGCCACCGTTTGCCAGATTGGGCCTGCCAGGTTGGCGCCAGATTGGCTTCGGCTACCCAGCCAGCGGCGCCCACCCCGCGGAGCGGAGCGACGCGGCCTCAGCTTGGCACGGGGCCGCCGCGACGCGCGGGGCGAGAGGCCGAGACGGCAGCACGAGCAGTGCCCACGTACGGCAGCTCGGCGCCGTGTCGACGCGCCGGCGACCCCAGCGCGAGCGTTCAAGACTAGAGTTATGTCGGGCGTGTCCCCCTACAGGGGGATTGTCGACGAAGAATAAAAAATACCCAACAAATAAACCAAACAGGTCAACAAATTCTCCAAAAATGGTCCCAAGATTTTTTGTTGTTGACTATTTTTGGATTATTTGTGGGGTATTTCTTATTTGTCGTCGAAAATCCCCCTGTAGGGGGACAGGCCCGACTTAAAACTGCAGTCAACCCGCATAGTGATGATGAGCAACGTTCCGAGGCTGCCCTGGCATCCCTCCCCTTCGGCCCATCCCTGGCCGCTTTCGCGGGCCGCGCCCCGCTCGCCCTCGTGTCGACGTGGGCTTCCAGGGCCCCTGCATCCTTCTCGTGCGTCCTTACTATACGGGTTGACTGTATACGCCGCCAGTCGCCCAGGATCGGCCGATATCGAACGATCCGTGCTACAGTCGGGGCCCTGAAGAAGGAACCCTTTTCGTTGGGGAGGGGCTCGGTGTTCTTTGATTGTTCTGCAGTTTGCCTTCTGTTTTCCTGAGGTTTTCAATGGGAAATCGAAGCTCAACTTATTGGAGGAAGGGGCCCCGTTCCTCATTTAGGGTTCCTTAGGTCAACGCCCCGATTGTATCGGGAGCCGACGTCGTTCAGGGAGGTACGGTCCACGCGGTGTCAGAGACCATCGCCAAAGTCGCCGCGAAGCGAACTTGCCATAGCCCATATCCAGTATCTCAAGTATCTATCCCCTTCCCCTTGCTCTCCCTCTTAAATTGCCAAGATGTTGATCGCGTCTTGACCCACCCAAGCGAAGCAACAGAGCGTGCACGATCCTAATACTCATGCGGGCTAGGTCCGTACGGTGAGCATCGGTGTCGCGACAGCGCGGAGTGGGGGAGACGACACCGAAAGAAGGAAAGAGAGATCCTAAGCCACAGGTTGGCCAGTCAACGGGTACCTGCTCCCAGCCCGAGTGCAGGGACATCAGGAAGACGACCTCCACCCTGAGCCTTGCTCTCCACCTCCTCTTCCTCCTCCTCATCTGCCTCGCCCTGATCCCTCGCCCCATCCCGTCCGGCGGAACCGCAGCCCACCCAATGCCCTGCGGACCCCGAAGGCGCCAACGCCAATGCCGACGACGGCGCCCATGGCCACCGCGCCGACGACGGCGATCCCCCAACAGGTGGACCTGGTGGATCCCCCCAGTGTCCTGGTGGACGAATTAGCTGTACATGTTAAGCTCGTCCGCCACACGCGACGCCGGCGCCAGGGCGGCTGGAACGCTTACGCCATGACGATGCGCTGGGGCGGCCAGCTTTCCAGCCGCACTGGGGCAGGCGTCCCCGATGACGGGTAATCTTATTTTACGCCGTCGTTCGCCCGCTTGGCTTCCTTTCAGGAGGGAAAGAAACACACAGACACACTTAATCGTCGATTCCCGAGAAAATATTGGAAAATACGGGAAGTGGGGGGGAAGACAGACACCCAGAATACATGGGAAACTATGGGGGAATCATCTTCTTTGTGTGTGTATTGATTGGTGTGTTCTGGGACCCCTTTATCCTTCCTCTCTCTCTGGTCCCCCTCTGTTCCCCTGTCCCCCGTCCGCCGCCGTGCCGTCGTCCTGCGGCTGCCCCGCCCACGCCGGCCGCTCGTGTGCTCCGCCTGGCCACCTCCCGCACTGGGGCAGGCGTCCCCGATGACGGGTAATCTCACTTTTTCGCCGCCCTTCGCCCGCTTGGCCTCCTTCTTCTCTCTTGCCCCCCTCTGTCCCCCTGTCCCCCGTCCGCCGCCGTGCCGTCGCCCTGCGCGGCTGCCCGCCCGCGCCGGCCGCTCGTGTGCTCCGCCCGGCCGCCTCCCTGAGGAACTGGCGCGCCGCGGCCGTGCCTCGGCCGTGCCACGCGCGCCGCGCGCGCCGGCTGCGCCGGGCGAGCCACGTGCGGCGCACGCTCGGGTCGGGCACGTCCAAGAAATATCCACAAGCAGTCAAGAGCCGTCGCATCGCATCGCACCGCATCACTTTGCGCCGTCATTCGCCCGCTTGGCTTCCTTCCTCTCTCTTGTCCCCCTCTCTGCCCCTGCCCCCGCCCGCCGCCGTGCCGCCGTCCTGCGGCTGCCCGCCCACGCCTGCCGCTCTCGTGTGCTCCGCAGGGCAGCCCTCCCTGGGGGGCTGGCGCGCCGCGGCCGTGCCCTCGGCCGTGCCATGCTCAGGAGGGGATAAAACACACAGACACAATGAATCCTCGATTCCTCAAAAACGATGGGAAAATATATGGGAAGCGGGTGGGGAGGACAGAACCCCAGAAGATATGGGAAAATATGGGGAATCGTTTTATGTGTGCGTATTTCTTTGTGTGTCCCGGGGCCCCTTTACATGCGTGCCGCGCGCGCCGGCCGCGCCGGGCGAGCCACGTTCGGCGCAGGCTCGGGTCGGGCACGTGCTCTCCTAGAGGCGGGTTCTGGGCGACGAGCAGTTTTGGTCTGCGGGTCGAGAGCGAGCCTCTTCCGGTCAAGAGCTAGGCGGGCCGCGCAAAGCACTAATTGGGGAGACAGGGCGCGGGCGGGCGGGGCCTCAGGCGGCCGGAGGGCGCGGGGTGCAGGCGTTGCTGAAGAGCTTGCGCAGGAAAAGGTACACCCTGGACAGGAGCCGGAGGCGAAGTCCCGGAGGGTGAGCAACCTCTGGACGACAAACAGACAGCAGCCAAGAAAGATCCTCAAGCAGTCAAGAGCCAGTCGACGGATCGTCCCCTGTCTACTTATTGGCTATGTTCGAATACTCCGCCTTGAGAGGGACATGCCCGACTGAAGGGTACGCGCACAGTGTGCCGAGAGCGCCCGTGCACGCGAGAGTGCACACTGGGGGCCGTGTCGGCCCCCAGCGCCCTTGTCGGAAGCAGCTGCGCCGTCGCGGCGGGGTGGCCATCATGATGTCTGGTGGTCTTTGCGCAGCAGGCAATGTGCATGCGCCCCCGCCGTCCCTGCACGAAGCTTGCTTTTATTGTTTTTGACAGGGGCTGTGGCCCTGCGCACAGCAGGCAATACGCAGGCCCCCCCGCATTTTACAATGACTTTTGGCATGGATGGTAGGGGGTGTCGGCTGCTGGTCGCCTCGGGGAGGGGATGTTTATTCGGGCTTGCTCCTGTCCTCAAGATGGGCTTCTGCGACTGAGTGGCGCTGCCTCCTCACCGCTCGTCGCGAGTCCTCCCAAGAGTTGCCTCCTCTGCGGCGGAGACACGCGCAGGCGGACCTGGCCGCGGTCTTCGAGAACCTGTACCAGGGCGGCGGGGTGCTGTCCAGAGCCTTGCTCAGTGCCATGGGGTCGGGGCGGGCAGGAGAACCCCCCAGGTCCAGGCGGTCGGCGACTTGTGCTCTGTGGCCCGCGCCCAGCATCCTCGCCCTGCAGCCTCGGGCCCCTGCCGAGGGCCCTCGCGCACCGGTCGGGCTCGAGAGATGCCGCATGAAGACATCGGTTGGCCTTTGGCATGCTCGTACTCCGCAGCTGCACAGGGGCGACGTGCACTGGAACGTCTTGCAGTGTACGCACCGTGGCGGTCGTTTCCTGGCCAGGCAATTTGAGCGACGAGCTGTTGTCATATGGGGTTACTACATGTCCGTGTCGGAAGCGCGTCTCCAATGAGACCACATAGTCATAGTGTGTCTTTCTGCACCCCAGAGACAGGAACCAGGGTTCCATCAATGACGGACAATGGCATTAACACAAACGTTCGGAGGTTCTCCTTGATTTCTTGGATCTGCGCTAGACGATCCCCCTGGCGAAGTCCCCGGCGCCGTCCCTGGCGCTTCCCGCGCGCCAGAAGATCCTCGATCTGCTGATTCCAGCGCGCGACAGGGGATCCGGTATCCCCTGGCGCTTCCCGCGCACGAGGATCTGCGACGCCGCCAGCGCCGATCCCAGAACCCCGCGCGGGGGGTCCGAACGATGATGCTGATGCCGTTTGCCTTCTTCAGTTCGAGTCGTGATTTTCGCACGGACTTGTAATTCTTCCATGTCGCCCCCAGGGGCGTCCAGAGAATCGCGCGTCGCGGTCCTGGCCAGAGCAGCTGGCGTTCCCCAAGGGGGAGGCGCGAGTGTGCGAAGAGAACCGCACGTCGCGCATCGAGGGGCGCGATGCGCGAAGTTTCTGGTGACAAGCGCCCCGAGACTTTCTCGGCCCCCCACCCCACGGCGCCGGGAGCGAAAAGCCGTCTTTAGCAGGGCACAGCGTGTCGCCAGGGCCGCCGCCGCGACACGCTAAGCAAAAGCTCCTGACCTGCGATGCGAGGGATGAGCAAAGTTCCTGACCGGCTAAGCAAAGCTACGTAAAAACTCGAAGGCGATGATAAGGGGCGAACAGTCAAGGGGAGGGCACTACACGTGTTCGCCTAGGAGCCTCGCCGAAGGCATGGACCCTCGGCGACTGTGTATACACGTGCTGTCCTCCTCCGGGCCCTTCGCCCCCATCGTCGCCCCCAGCCAACTC